GTCATTCTTCTGTGAACTGATTGGCATCTCAAGCCTTTCTTTGACAGGTGGAACCTCTTTGTTTGCAAGAGCCCTAAAATACCTATATGGTGGAACACATTCCACTACTGTTAATAGTTATTTCGTTTCTAACTCGTATGACCATTCCAATGGATCTTTTGGTTGTGTTCTAATAGCTGCTTTCGTGAATTGCTTCATTATATCAGGAAGGGCAGGAGGAATTTCAATTTGCTCGTGACAATAATACGGCTCTTCGACCACAGACATAGCTTAGTTTAAAAAGTCTTCAGTGTCGTTTCCATGACATTTCATTTTCAAGGAAAAAGTTCAAGGTTCAATAAAGTAGCCAATGGCAGGTCGCAGAATTTTTAGGAGTCAGTAGCTTTTGACTCTATCCTTTTTATATTGTTGGAATTTTAATGTATTCAGACCTAGGCTTAACACCGATCACACACAAGTGAGAGAGAGGGAAGTAAAGCTAGCAGATTCACAAAATGGCAACGGCTACAGCAGTGAATCAGAAGTGCCATTGCCAAAGATGCCAAAGTAAGTTTGAAAATTGAAATAGCAGACGAAAGACAAAAAACAGTAAATAAATTATAAGAACTATCTTAATCAGCTCACAGCAGATAATCTATTGCCCATGACACATATTTTTAATTCAACTTACCCAATTGTGAACAACTCGAGGCCTGGATGGTAGTCGGACCATTAAGGAAGCGAGTTTTGCATAATAGGGTCAATTGAATTATTAAAGTCTCTAAAACCTTTCTAATAAGTGTTGCTAAGTACAGGAGATGGCATGAGGGCGATCTGTACTTATCCCTCTAAATTCTCCAAATCATCAACGGTCCCATCGTCATGAACTAAAAGGCTGTACAGTTCATTGCATATTGAACCCACTTCTGTCACGAATGAGTTGGTTTGTTCGCGAAATGATTGATAAACTGGTGGCACAAACATAGCCCACTGTGACTTTAAAACCAAGTTCCTTTATAAAAATCAGTGTCTGAATATAAATTATATATGTTTATTATGCCAGTTGCAGGCAATTTAAAAAAAAAATGCATTAGTTGGTAAAGCACCTCTTGGGCGCCTTCCAAAACCTCGAAGACAGGAAAAA